TTTCCTCTGAAATTGAGGCTCACGCTCAGGCGTTTTGGGGTTCCGCCAAAACCGGCCCCCCAACAACAACAACGCTCCGGCTCGAGACTTCCTCCTTTTTTACTCGGGCTCGGTGCTCTTGCTCGCCGCCGAGAGCGGCTCCCGGGCCGGACGCCCGGGTCGGCGCCCGAGCCGGCGCCCGGGCGCCGGAAAATCGAGTTCCGAGGCGGCGCCGAAAAAAGGCCATTCCAATACACATTTTTCTTTCGAAAATGCTGAATTTCTGCTTCCGGCGCCCGGGAGGCCGTCCGGGCCGATTCCGGAGCTCGGGCCGGCACCCGGCCCGGCTCCCGGGCCGGACGCCCGGGTCGGCGCCCGAGCCGGCGCCCGGGCGCCGGAAAATCGAGTTCCGAGGCGGCGCCGAAAAAACGCCATTCCAATACACATTTCTGTCGAAAATGCTGAATTTCTGCTTCCGGCGCCCGAGAGGCCGTCCGTGCCGATTCTGGAGCTCGGGCCGGCACCCGGCTCGGCTCCCGGGCCGGACGCCCGGGTCGGCGCCCGAGCCAGCGCCCGGGCGCCAGAAAATCGAGTTCCGAGGCGGCGCCGAAAAAAGGCCATTTCAATACACATTTTTCTTTCGAAAATGCTGAATTTCTGCTTCCGGCGCCCGGGAGGCCGTCCGGGCCGATTCCGGAGCTCGGGCCGGCACCCGGCCCGGCTCCCGGGCCGGACGCCCGGGTCGGCGCCCGAGCCGGCGCCCGGGCGCCGGAAAATCGAGTTCCGAGGCGGCGCCGAAAAAAGGCCATTCCAATACACATTTTTCTTTCGAAAATGCTGAATTTCTGCTTCCGGCGCCCGGGAAGCCGTCCGTGCCGATTCTGGAGCTCGGGCCGGCACCCGGCCCGGCTCCCGGGCCGGACGCCCGGGTCGGCGCCCGAGCCGGCGCCCGGGCGCCGGAAAATCGAGTTCCGAGGCGGCGCCGAAAAAAGGCCATTCCAATACACATTTTTCTTTCGAAAATGCTGAATTTCTGCTTCCGGCGCCCGGGAGGCCGTCCGGGCCGATTCCGGAGCTCGGGCCGGCACCCGGCCCGGCCGGCACCCGGCCCGGCTCCCGGGCCGGACGCCCGGGCAGTTCCGATCGCGCCGAAAAGAGGCCATTCCAATACACATTTTTCTTTCGAAAATGCTGAATTTCTGCTTGCGGCGCCCGGGAAGCCGTCCTGGGCCGATTCTGGAGCGGCTTTGGGCCGGACGCCCGAGCCGGCGCTGCTTCTTTGCTTCTTCCCGAGCCGCTTCTGGAACCATATCTGGGCCGGTCCAGCGATAGGTTTCCTGGACGCGCTGAACCATCCAACTTTTTGAGACTTCCTGCGTCTCAAGGATAGGGAGAGAAGTCAGTTGAGCTGAAGATCGGGACAAATCGGATCCAGAGATTCTGGGAGAGTTCAAGAGAAAAATAAAACGCCGATTTGTGGAGCGCAGCGCGCGCATTCGCAGAAGTTCCCAAAGAGTGTTCGAGGGCTTGAGGAGCCCAAGTAACACATGGGCGCTCAATTAAACTGTTGAGGGCGGGCAGAAAATCTGGTGCGCACGAGCATTGTGAGCGGGTGCGCGGCTTGCAGGGGGGGCGCAGTAGGTTTGCGTCTCATGGACTTGGGCGCCGGCCAATGCGCTGATGGGGGGCCCGAGAATGCGTCGCAAATATTACGCCTGTGGCGCCATGGAGGCCGCATTTGCGGTTGCAGTTGGGCGGGCGCCCCGCCGCGCGCACCGTGGCGACAGCTCTCTTGGGCGCCCGCCCGCCGCCGTGGACGTAGCGGGCCCATGTGCAGCTAGTCTCTCGGTCGGCGCGCGGCGGGTCGGCAGCCACGACGCTGGCGGCCTGAAAATGTTGCGAAAGTGTTTCTCCCCGATCCCGGGGCTATTGTATGTTTTCGGTGGCGCGCGCAGCTCGGAGAAAAATCGCCTTGTCCGTCGGCGGCCAGTTGGCTGTCGTCGCGCAGAAGTACCGGCGGATGGCGCGGTCCACGCTCAGCGCAAAGAGCGTGTCCATGAGCGTGGACTCGTCGAGGGGCAGGAGGAGGGGCCTCGCGGTCGGGGCCATCGCGGCCCGCGATGTCCACGGCCCCCACCCTGGGCGCGCGAGGACCTGCTGGGCGCCGCCGCAGCGCGATTTCAGAGAATCTCGGAACCAGAAATCCGGGCGCGCCAAATTTCGCGGGCCGAAAAACTCTCAGAGAGTTTCGGCCAGCTCCGAGGTTTTGGGTTTATGGGAATGTTTCACGCGGGGTGGCTAGTTCAGAGATTTTCCGAGATTCTCAGAGAAGTTCGGACGCGAGAATTTGGCGCGCCCCGGTTTCTGTCTCTGCGAATCTCTGAAAAGCGGTTCCTTAGGTTTTACCGGGTCTCCAGGCGTCCTGTCAGCCAGAGACGAGCGACTGGCTGGCGCCGCGCCCGATGCTTCCGGAGATGCGAACTCGGTATTCGATTCCCTGGGGCCCGCGGGCCCCTGGGCCAATCGCGAGGTTGCCGAGGCCCCCAGGCGGTTGCGCGCGATTGTCTCGGAAACCGGAGTTGGGCATCCATGGTGGACGCCCGCGCGCGCGCTAGGTGTCCGCGAGATTGTTCGGTGGCGGATTTTGCATGGCGCGGGGAGTTTCCAAAGACTTTCCGGGGTGTTCTCTACGGTTATTTCGGCGCGCTTCGGGAATTTTGGGGCGGCGCGGGGAAGTCGCCTGGCCGCGCTCGGAACTTTTTTTTCCAATGCCTTCTTGGGCATCATCGCGGTGTTGCGTGGCCGAAGAGGTCACTGAGCAACGCGCGTTTTAACATTCTCGTGTTTTTTCGTTGCGTTGGTTGCGCGATTGTTTTGGCGGTCCGCCTCCTTGGGGGCCCCTTGGGGCCTCAAGTTTGTTTCGTTGACGCCGGGCCTTCTGGAGTGAAAGGCGCTTGGCGCTGAATTCCCTCGGGCGTGCGCGTGGCCAAATGCGCGCCGTGGCTTCATCCGCGCTGGGGCGCATTTCTTCCCTCGCGAAGCCGATGGCGCCCAAGGCGTGGCAGGCCCGTTCGGCGGCGCCCCAGGTGATTTGAAAAACCGAACATGATTTTTATCCCGGTCAAATTTTGCCCCGATCCTGGCTTCATCTTAAGAAGACATTAAAGGAGGATCAAAAAGCAACGTCGCTATGAACGCTTGGCTGCCACAAGCCAGTTCTATTAACTTGGACTACTACTACCGTTACCACTGCTACTAGTGCTACAGCCGCAACAACAATATCATCAACTGCTGCTACTACAACTACTCATCCTTCCTCCCCCTCCTCCCCCTCCCTTCTCCTCCTCCCCCTCCCTATCTCTCTCATCTCCCCCTCCTCTTCCTCTTCCTCTCCCTCTGAGATGCGGGGCATGCGCAAGGCGATTGCGAAGGCGATGTGCCGTCCGAGCTATGGATGTTGAAGTTCCTCGGAAGAGGTGGTGGCCAAACCTTCTTGGGCGGGATATCTGGGTGAGGGAATATCGGATCCCGCATGCCAGAAAAATCCCCCATGATGGGGTGTGTTATCCAGATGGATGCATGTGTCATGTGGAAGCATGGCGCATGAGGGTAAAATGATTGTTGTTGTTGTTGTTGTTGTTGTTGTTGTTGTTCTTGTTGTTGTTGTTGTGATGGTTGTTGTGGTTGTTGTCGCTGTTGTTGCTGAGACTCGTCTTTCCTCATCATCCTGCTCTTCGATTTCTCTCTGGGGAGGAGAAGGTACTGATAACCCCTGTCCTTCCCTCGTAGCCATAGCTGAATGTGTCTCGACATCCCGGTCAAAACACCTGGAGAGGTCCGTGGAGAAGCGACATGGGTGTATATTCGTACGCATATGTAAGACTGCGCTGCCGTTTCGCGCCATGCACCTTGGTCCTTGACGTTTGGCATGCAGGACAGGAAGGTAAAACATAACAGTTTGCGATGCCTGCTTGTTGCCTTTTTTTCTGAGATCGTCGTTGCCACAATGTTTTTCCGTGTATCCCCCTCATGTTTCTTTTTTCTCTCTCATTCTCGCCCTACCCTGCGAATTCTTCCCCATCCTCCCCAACTCTTTGTGCGGAGGCTCCTCCCTGGAGAGCCTCTTGGGGGCCTCTCAGGGCCCTTTACGGGCCCTGGGATTGTCAGACAACGGCACAGGATGAAGATTTCGTCCTGGGGGGAGGCCCCCGGGTCCAAAACCCGTTTTCCTCAGGACCCTTTTCCCCCTATGCCAGAACAGGCAACGCGATCCGAATCGCGAATCCCTTTTTCTGCTATCCTCAGGTGTCCGATGCCGTGATCTTGTTCCCACGGCAGGCCCCCAGTGGTCTGTGCCCGTTCCCCCGGGAACAGCTTTTCGTCCAAAGCCGTCTTGTGACGGTCCTGGGGCCCACCTGGAGGTAGAAAATTGCCAACAGTTGTTGGTCGCTGTGTTTTCCCGCAACGAGAAGAGGTTCTTGCCTCAGCGCCAGCCGCGCTGCTGACTCATCGCCTTCGCGCCGGCAACACGTCCAGCTCAGAGCAACGCAGGAGAAGAAGTCGGATTCGGAGCAGGAGGAAGAAACTTCGATTGAGAGGAGCTGTCCTGGGCGGAGAAGCATTGAATGCTTACGATTTTCACTTGGTCGGAGCTTGGGCCGCTTGGGCAGGGACGTGAGTGGGCGGAGGGGGGTGAGCAGGAGCCGGATGGAACGGAGGAAGGTCCGTCGGAGTTCAGCCGCCCTTGGTAGCATCGCAGTATCGCCCGCCTGGCGGTGCGATGCATTCCTTCCGGGCCACCGCTCCCAAGCTGCGGGTCAGCCAGCGCCCGGGTCGTGGGGCCCTCCTGGCTTGTGTGCAGGGCGCGGGTCTCCTCCTTCTCCTCCTTCTCCTCCTCCTCCTCCTCCTCCCCCTCCTCCTCCGCCTCCTCCTCCCCCTCCCCCCCCTCCTCCTCCTCCTCCTCCTCCTCCTCCGCCTCCTCCTCCGCCTCCTCCTCGACGCAGGGCGCCCGCGCGAGGAGA